CTGTCACCCAGGCTGGAGTGCAGTGTTGCAATCTTAGCTTACTGCAACCTAGACCTCCCAGGCTCAAGCAATCTGCCCCTCTCAGTCTCCAGAATAGCTGGGACTACAGGCACACATCACTATGCCTGGCTAACTTTTTGTATTTTTTGTAGAGATAATGTTTTGCCGTGTTGCCCAGGCAGGTCTAGAACTCCTGACCTCAAGCAATCCGCCTGCTTTGGCCTCCCAAAGTTTTGGGGTTACAGGTGTGCACCACAATGCCCAACCTATTTAATTTGATTTTTATACCTGAATTCTGGGAAAAATAAGTGATTTATACATGTGTCATATCTGGAATTTCAGTTATAGGCAAAAGAAAACCTTTTTTAAAAATGTGAATTATTACTTTACAGTTCTGCAAATCAGAAGTCTAAAATGGGTCTTATGGGCTAGCATCAAACTGTCACCAGAGCTGTGTTCCTTCCAGAGGCTCTAGGGGAAAATGCATTCCTTGCTTTTTCCAGCTCCTAGAGACTGTCCTTATTCCTTACCTCATGACCCCTCTCTCCACCTTCAAAGGCACATCACTTCAACCTGTTTCCATAGTCATATCTCTTCTCTCTAGCTTTGACCCACTTGTCTCTGTACTATAAAGAAACTTGTGACCATATTGGGCCTCCCAGATTATCCAGAATAATCTCCCAATCTCAAGAGTTTTAACTCAATCACATCTACAAATTCTCTTTTACCACATAAGATAACAATCACAGGTTCTGGGTATTAGGGCATGGACATCTTTGGTGGGCTATTATTCTGTCTACCACATCTATGCTTCCAGACTTGATTATATGGGAAACCAAAATATATCCACCAAAATATACTTCTTTGGCATATTTTGAGATGGCTTTTTAGAAGGGCTGCAGACACAGCAATGGCCGTCCTTTTGTGGAAAAGATTTGCATCTGTAGAGGAAATCTATATTAGCAAAGTAAACAGTGGATGTAAACAGGATTTCTCTGAGACCCCTTATCAGCCTTATCCTGAACTAGGAAAGATTCACTCATAGGATATATCTGACACTATTAAAGTTCCAACAGGGAAACTGTCACCACTGGATTCCATCTATTCTTTCTGAGAGCTGCTACCTGAGAGACATCATCTGCAAAACAAGACAGCCGTTGCTCACCATGCCTTTGCTCCCCTCTCCCTCCCATAACCTGTCTCCAAACTCCACTTCTCTATTCCTTTCTGTACAGTATAAAAACTTCACGCATTTGGCCCTTCTTTAAGTCTCATCTTTTGTGTGGCTCCTGTGCACAGAAATAAATTTGCATACATTTTCTCCTGTTAATCTGCCTATTGTCAGTAGGTCTTATAGATTCAAATTATATTCAGAAGAAGGGGAAGGAAAATTCTCTTTACCCTACAGTAGTCACCTGGTTTTAAATAAAATTAGTACAATTAACAATTACTAGATTGGCAATAGATGTTAAATATACAATAATACGATGACAAATGAAAACATGATGATATTTTCTGAGTCTACCAATATATGATTCCTTGGTATTATGGACTGAGTATTTTATTCTCTCAAAATTATCTGTTGAGCCCTAACCCCCAGTGTGGCTATATTTGGAGATGAGGCCTCCAAGTAATTAAGCCACCAAGCCTGTGGTATTTTATTATGGCAGCCTGCGCTGACTAAGACACCTTGTGATGTCAAAAGAAATGTTAATATGCTGGACATGAGTTCCTGACAGACATGGGGAAGAAAATGAAGATAATATAAATCCAGAACTTTATTACAAGCAGCCACACTCCTCTGTGGTGTATGCTGTCAGTACTCTGGGGCTATAGGCAGGCATTTCCTCAAGAAACAGAGGGTGCCTTGCAATTCCCACTATGGAGATGCTATCAGTGCTTCATCTAGACCCTGGGCCTGTCTTTCCTGTATGCATGCACACACCCCTCTTTTTAAGTGCTTTGCTTCTAAAACTCAGCCCCCTGCTCTTTTTCAGCAGTCTGTCCCGGGGCTCATGGAGTCACTTTGCCTTGACCTCAGAGGGCCTGAGAATTTACCACCATTACCAACCCCAGTGACCAACAGATAGGTGTGGTGTGAAAACCCTCCCATTAGCCTCTGGACAATGCTGAGAAGTATTAATACTCCCCTGCTGAATAAGGCCTACCCTCTGTGGCTTTGGCCTCTTTGCCTTTCTTGTCCTGCTCCCCTCACTCCTCTATCTGTCTCCCCTAGAGTCTCTCCACAATAAATCACTTGCACGTGAATCCTCTTCTCAGAGTTGCTTCTGGGGATACTGACCTTAGGAACTCTCTGAATTAAACCTAATTAAACCTAATTAAAAATTAAACCTAATTAAAAGGACTTTGTAACAGAAAATATTGTATGTTGTTTATTATTCTTTCACATTAAAAAATAATTATAATATCTAGTCCAAATATGGCCTCCATGGACCATAACCCCAATATCACACTGTGTGTAGTTCCCCCCAACACTGAATCATGGCTGGCCTAGGACTCAGTAACCACAGAATGACACAGACATGGATCTGTGCTATTTTCAGGTTTAGCCTTGAAGAGGACTGGCAACTTCCATAGCTCCCTATTGGAATATCCCCTTCCCTCAGCTGTCATGTAAAAAATCTGGCTGCCCTGCTGCAGAAAGCACACGGAGAAACCCGTGGAGGAAAAGAGAGCCAAAGATGCATAGAGAGAATGAGAGACAAAGGCCTAGGAGTCCCAGTGATCTAGTTGAACTCAGATTCCAGCCATCCCCACCAAGATGCCAGACATTTGAGTGGGACCCTCATGGATATTCCATCCCAGTCAAGCCCCCAGATGACTGCAGTCCCACCCAACATCATGTGATACAGAAGAGTCACAAGCTGAACCTCATCAACCACAGGTTCATGGGTCATAAAAAGGTGATGATTGTTTTAAGCCACTAGGTTTGTGGATGGTTTGTTATGCAGTGGCAGATAAAACCAAAACAGAAATGTGTGTTCTTTGTAAACAAAACAAAAACAGAAATACAAAGATACTCAAGCTATAAAGAAAATAAAAATGATCCAAATCTCCATACCAGGAGAAAAGCCCTGTAAACATTCTATTGTATCTCCTCCTAGCCTTTTCCCATGCAAACATTTTCCCACATGAATGTGATCATAGTGTATACACAGTTTATATTCTGCTTTTATTCCACTTGGCAGTATATTGTGAAAATTTTCCAATGTCATTACAATTTTTAAATGTGCATAAATTGGGGACTTTCATACTCTATCATATGGATGTTCCATAATTTATTCAAACATTCTCTCAGGACTCTTTTTAATTTTTTACTTTTGTAAATACAGTTCGGGTTAGTACTCTTATAGTGAAACTTTTGCTACCTCTGGGATTACTTAGATTTTTGCAAGTTGAATTATCAGATCAAAATACGTAAGTTTTTTAAAGTTCTTAATATGGTTTGGCTCTGTGTCCCCACCCAAATCTCATTTCAAATTGTAATCTCTGTAGTCTCCATGTGTCAGGAGGGGAACCAAGTGGAGGTAATTGGATCATGGGGCAGTTTCCCCCATGTTATTCTCATGATAGTGAGTGAGTTCTCACGAGATCTGATGGTTTTATAAAGGGCTCTTTCCTCTTCTCTTGTCTCTCCTGTTGCCATGTGAGAAGGTCCAAGCTTGCTTCCCCTTTGCCTTCTGTCATGATTGTAAATTTCCTGAGGTCTCCCCAGCCATGCAGAACTGTGAGACAACTAAACCTTTTTTTAATGTAAATTACCCAGTCTTGGATATTTTTTTACAGTAGTGTGAAAACGGACTAATACAGTTCTAGATACATGTTTTCAAACTACTTTCCAAGAAACCTGTGACAATTTGTCCTCTACTAGTACTTAGTGAGAGAACTATTCTCTCAGTACCCTTCGCAGCCATGAGTAGAATTTAGTTGTTTTCTGTTTTATATTTATGAATTTGAAAGACAAATAAAAAGACATTTTTGTGTTCATTTGCATTTCTTTGGTCATTAGTGAGGCTGGACATTTTTCAGACTTTTAATAATCAATGGTATTGCACTGTCTGTGAATTTTTCCCATCCTTTCCTACTTCCTTGTGTAAATTTTAGTTCTCATTTATCAATTTATATGAGTTTGCAAAAACCTATACATGTACCATAAGGCACTAAAGGTCTGTCAGAATGTAGAAAACATTCTATTTAAATTTGTTATTTAACTTTAATTTTGCTTAAAGATGTTGCTGTAGATATACATGCTACATTTTAAGTAGGTATAAGCAAATATCAATATTTTTCTTTATGAGAAATTAAAAGTCAAATAAATTTGCTCATCTGCTGCACATGAAATGAATTTCCTATTTTGTCAGGCTTCCCACACACAAGCATTGGCAACTTTCCTTCCCTACCCAAAACAACAAAAAGTTAACACGTTCATGAACACTGGGAGTTTCAAGTTTAATCAGTGGATAAATATTTTACACAAGCTGTGAGGTTAAACATTTCGCTGAGAAAACACTTCATCACAAAAAGGGCTTGGATCATCAAGATTTAAGGCAGAAAAATCTCTCGCCAAACACCCAAGCGTCATGCTGAGCTTCTGTGAACACATTAGTCTAGTCAGCCAGCTCCGGCTCTGCACAGATTGGAGAAAAAATACTGCAGAGAAACTCATTTATCTACTTGATTGTCAGTGTCATGTGCTAACCACAGGCAGCTAGTAATGGAGGCCCTTGCTATCTTGAGTCAAATGGCTCTCAGTCAGGGGCGATTTTGGACATTTAACAATGTCTGGAGACATTTGGGGGATCCCACAACTGGGGGAGGTGCATTACTGGTATTTAGAGTAGAGGCCAGGGATGCTGCTAAACATCCTACAGCACACAGGACAACCCCAATAAAGAATCCAGTCTTAAATGTCAAAAGTGGCAAGGTGGAGAAACCCCACTCTAAACCAACACCACAGAAATAAAATAATGCTCTCTTACCTCTCCTGTATAATTATATTTGCCTTTCAGAATCTTCCTGTAAAGTCTTGTCTGACTTTCATCATCAAAAGGCAGGAATCCGCTAAGTAAAACATATGTGATCACACCAAGAGCCCACATGTCCACTGCACTGGTATAAGGCTTCCTTAGCAAAATCTCAGGAGCTATGTACTCTGGGGTCCCACAGAGTGTCTTCATTGTCCAGTCACCGCTTTTGTTCCCAGAGTGTGCCAAACCAAAATCTGTAATTAAAATTTTCGACTCTGCACCTGGATGATAGTATAAGAGGTTTTCGGGCTTTAGGTTCCTATGAGTTATTCGCAGCGCGTGCAAATACCTAATCCCATCAGCAACCATCCGGAGGATCCTGACAGCATCCCGCTCTGTAAAGGATCCCTGAGCAATGAGTCGATCAAAGAGCTCCCCTCCGGTAGCCAGCTCCATTACCATGTAAACTCGATCCTCAGCCTCAAAGATCTCCATGAGCTGGACAATGTAACGATGGCTAACCCGCTGCAGGACGCTCAGCTCAGACACACACGATTCTCTACCTTCTCTCTCTCTGGTTTCCATCACTTTTATTGCAAAAGGTTTCTTGGTGGTCTTCTGCTCTACCCTGACAACCCTGCTGAAATTACCTGTTCCAATAAGAGCTTTGATATCATATCTGTTGGGAAGAAAAAACAAACGTGTTATCCCCAGAAGTGATGATTCTCAAAATTACATAAGTCCATGCTTTATATCATCTTTTCTATCCTTCTATTCCTCCCATCAGATTTATTTGCTAATTATTACTTGTGCTTATTATTTTTGAAAGTTGCCCCAAATCCTGTTTCGAAATGGAAGAAAATGCTATAAAGGTAATTTGTTGGTAGAAAGACAATCTTAAATACAATAACTACCATTTATTATACAGTTAATATATGTCAACAATTTTTAAAAATCTTATCCATACTAAAAGGCTGCTGAGTAATATAATGATATCTCCCTTTTTCAAATAAGGAAATTCAGACTTAAAAAGAAGTTAAATGAGTTCTCAAGGCCACCCAGATTATGGTTGGAATGGATGGGATTCAAATCCAGCCCTTTCAAATGCATTTTACAAAAACTGTTTCAAGAATGTTAAGACCCCCTTCTACTAATTTCTTTCCTTCCTCTAGCCCTTGTTTTTATCATTCTTCAACAACAAACAAATCAAGTGGGTGAGAATACAGTAGAAGCTTACTCCTGTTTATAATTTCTCAAAAGACAGAGGATCCCATATCAGGAGACAGAGAATAAATAAACAGTGTGTTTCTTTGGGTTGCTTGGCTGTGAGCTCAGCCCCAGGCTCGTCTTGTACACAGTAGCTGTTACTAAGGAAGAAGTAAATGCAGCTGTGCTATTATAAGAGCAGGTTTCAGCAGTCTGGTGGGAGTAGTGCTATGGCCACCTTGCAGCCAGTAGTTTCTCACAGTCTCCCTCCATCCCCATTCCCGCGCTTGGAATCTCTAGGCAGTGAAGAGAATTTTAACATGGAATGTACGTCAATAATCTGTAAACCAATTATCCCACGAAAAGGCTCAGAACACACGTTTACCTATGTAACAAATCTGCACATCCTGCACATGTATCCCTGAACTTAAAATAAAAGTTGAAGGAAAAAAAGGCCTGGATATCAGCTCAGATTTCAAATGCTAGGGATCTTAAGCTTTAATTATCTGTGTAAACCTCTATTAAAATTTAAGAATCTGGCCAGGCACGATGACTCATTGTGCAATCCCAGCACTTTGGGAGGCCGAGATGGCAGGATTGCTTGAGCCTAGATGTTTGAGACCAACCTGAGCAACAAAGTGAGAACCCTTCTCTATAACAAATTTAAAAATTAGCCAATCATGATGCACAGCTGTAGCCCCAGCTACTCGGGGGACTGAGGCAGGAGGATCCCTTGAGCCCAGGAATTTGAGGTTGCAGTGGCCTGTGATCAGACCATTGCACTCCAGCCTGGGTGACAGAGTGATACCTCTGTCTCAAAAATTTTAAAAAAAAATTAAAAAGGAATCCTATCAAATTTAGCCCTGTACCTCATATTTAAGATGTGTCGAGGAAATGCTAGACTTAAAATCATTATTTTATAGCTGGAAAGAATATTAAAGTTGGGTATTTAACCCAACTTTTTGTTTTACCGATGAGGAAATTTAAAGAACACATTAGCCAATCGTTGTAGAGTCAGGATTAGAACACAGGTCTCCTTTCTTTTCTTTTTTCTTTTTCTTTTCTTTTCTTTTTTTTTTTTTGAGATGGAGTCTTGCTCTGTCACCCAAGCTGGAGTACAGTAGCATGATCTTGGCTCACTGCAACCTCTGTCTCCTGGGTTCAAGTGATTCTCCTGTCTCAGCCTCCTGAGTAGCTGGGATTACAGGTGCATGCCACCTTGCCTGGCTAATTTTTGTATTTTTTTAAGATTAGAGACGGGGTTTCACCTTGTTGGCCAGGCTGGTCTCGAACTCCTGACCTGAAGTGATCTGCCCACCTCAGCCTCCCAAAGTGTTGGGACTGCAGATGTGAGCCACTGTGCCCAGACTTCATTTTAATAAAACCTCTCCTAGCTAAAGATGACAGAGAATGGAATGTACTCAGGGAGCACCCCGGGAGAAGGCACATTTTTATACCACGTATTCAATACTAAAGATTCAAATACAAATACTAAACTATCTTTAAATAATCTTACTTCTTTTATTGAGCTTATTTTTCCTGTAACTTTTTTTTTCTTTGCCTTCTTGTTTGTTCTTTATATTCCTGTGTGTATCGAATAAAAATGACATTTGGCTGTACCAGATTACAGAAAACAGCTTTGTTCTCCACAGAGCACTTAATTTTCTGGCCAATTACCTTATCAAAACAGATAGCAATTTAGTAATCTTAAATAGATTCTTTCCCCTTTTCCCTTTCCATCTCTGCTTTTTTATTCACATGCATTCCCAGTGTGATTTTGAAGATAATCACAGGCATTTCAAATTCTATTGCTTTGCAGACCAACCAAGTTTTATATTACCTCTATTGTGGATGAAAGCACTCTGCAAATGCTAATTTATCGCCATGCCCTCAAAGCTGCCACCAAACTCATTTGTTCACAGAATTAATCATATCAAACAAACTACCATTTCTGAGAACTACACTCTTTTGCTCAAATAAAAGAAGCTTTTTTCAATACTGTTAAGGGGGCTTCATATTTCCAATATTTGAAAAATTGCTAGTAATTTGGCATTGGAGGAAACAGTACACTTTAAGCCAAGATTTAGAGTGGTGGAAATAAATGCTTCAGATTGTTATTCAATTTGTCCCATAACAAATTCTTACAGCTGCAGCCTTGCTCATGAGTCCTCAACAGCCATGAATGGTGACCACCTTTATGATTTGCGTGGTTATACCTTGTAAAGTGCCTAGCACAGAGAAGTAGCAATAAACATTGAACAAAAGAATCATTCACGGAATACATATTATTCCTGAATCATCATATATATATTGAAAACATTAAGTAACGATCACATCAAGCAGGGAAGAATGCCTCTATAAGGTCTTTTCATTTCCTTCACTTTTACCCCTCCACTCTCTTAAAAGAGTAGCCTCAAAGTCAGTTTAGTAGGTGGGGCTATTTTGTATCATTCCAGAGACTACGTAAATTGGAAATATTACTTTAACCTCAGTTGCTATTATACAAACTGGGAATTTTTGAACATAAATATTTGAAACAAGAAAATAATAATAGTGTCACAATCTGCTTGAGAGAAACAATTGTAATAAACTCCCAACAAGAAAGTAAATATACTCATATTTAAATTCTATCATCTCTTTTCTGCAAAAGTTATAGATGGAATCACAACGGAGAAGAAAGATGACTGTGTTCTAGTCCCAATTCTACCATTAACTTGGACAAGTCATCACTTAACCTTTGGGAACTCAACTACTCATTGGTTAAAGATGAGCCTTGAGTTACAGTCTCTGAAACCCTTGTAATGCTGAGATCCTCTGCTTCTGTGATCCCTTTACACTCTATGGGGCTGGGTCTACCCGCGGATTGGGAATGAGGAGGGTGGATGAAGACTAGACCAGACTAGCATCAACTCTCTGACTACAAACGACCAGAGATGCCATTTAACCTAGTCAGTCTTGACAAGACCCTGTACCTACTCAGATTCAGTTCAGTCATATTAGCCAGTCTTATTCTTCTCTAAACTTAGCAGCCACTGGACTAATCCTCCAGGAGTGATTGTATTAAAAGTTCTCAAAGAGCCAGGAAATGGCTCTGCATAGATTCTGGACAGAGCACTGTGATGAAGTGAGCATGCAATTCTAGGACCAGAAGTGCCTTGGGAAGCCAGCTGAGCCACCCATTATTGTGTCCCCCCAAACACAGAGGAGAAGGGGATTCTGTGATTTACTTGGTCAAAATGTCCAACATGTCCAACATGGTACACTCTGAGGAGGCCAACCAACTTGCAATCTTCTACATAGCGAGGGCTTATTTGTACTTCATGAAGACAGTAATCAGCATTGCACTAATGTCTACAGGAGGACTGGCGCCATGCACTGTGCAGCATAATTTGCATGTATTACTTTAATTATGCTCACAACAGTCTTATGAGATAGATACTCCCATTTTACAGAGGCAGAAACTAAGGAAGGATAAAAGCCAAGGAATAGTTGAAATGGTACATTATAGAAGAGATGGAACTGGACCTCAAGCCTGGCTGACTCAAAGGTGCCTCTCTAGTTCACTCACTGTAATCCCAATTTTTAGAATTTAGTGGAAAATCCTTTACACACCAGGTCTGGTAGGACCCAGCCCCAGGATATTGGTGGCAAAGCTGTCTTCCGCCACAGATGCTGGAGGTTGGCAGGCAGTCCTCTCACACCACCACACCCCACCTCTGAAGACAGGAATTCTTTCCCTTGTTTGCTGCTGCTCCTGCTCTCTTTTTTCCCATCCTCTGAACTCCCTGCTCAGAGATGTCAAAGATAAATTGTACTGGGCACTTACGGAACACAGCAAAGAAGGCTTATCCCAGACTATTGCAATAGGAGTCAAGGCTTCTGCAACAGAGGAAAGGAAATGGACGCCTTTGAAAGAAAAGGCAAGAAAGTTTTTAAGCGCTGGGGTGAGCTAGTGGAAAAGAATGGGGGAAGGTTAGGGAGAGGTGGTCAATGAGATCTGTGTTTGCTACCTGGCCCTTATGGAAGTTAGGCTCCTACCCTCCCACAGAGACTGGGAGACAGTGGCCCTAACTCTCTTGATGACTACATTTCAAAGGGATGTCTCCCAGGTGCTTGAAAAGGCCACTCTTGGGTTGTAGAAGATTTACATCTCAAAAGGGCAGAGAAGGGTAGATCAGTGGTCTATCATCCGAAAGAACCCTGTCCAAAATTGAGTCAAGCTGAAGAAAACCTTGAGGCGGTCTTGGCCAGGGAATTTTCTTTGTCAGCCCAGTCCCAGGCCAGTTCCTCACGTGGCGCTTTACCTGGCAAGGACCCGGGGGTCGAACTTGGCTCGGAAGCGAGCCACCTGTATCCTCTGCGCCGCCTGGGCCGCCGCCTCGGGCCGTGGCCCCGCACCTCCGACGCCGGCTTGACTTTGACCTTCGTGCTTGGCCCAGGCCAGCGCTGGCGGCCCCGGGACCACCTTCCTGCTGGCGCCGCACCCCATACCCGCAACACGACCGGCGCTCGCAGGACCCGGGGACTCGGGAAGCAGCCAGCTCTGTTCCTCTGCCCTTTATCCCAGAGCAGCTGCGAGGGGCGGCACACTCGGAAAGAAACCCCACTGGGGGGTCGCGGTCAGGCGGACAGCCCTCAGGATACCCGCTGACGACCGAGATGCCTGGAGCATCGCTGGTCACCGTCTGTAATGTGTGTGTAATCTGACGTGATGAAAGCAAAGTCAACCAGCAGGCAGAGCCTGCGCCTAAGTCTCTGGGCTTCACTTTCTGCATCTCTAACCTGAGGAAGTGAACATATACAGTTATACGATTCTATAAAGGATATCATCCCTCTAAAGAACTTTTCGCTGAGCTCATATTTGGATGACATGAACAATTAAAATTCTAAGAGCTTACAGTATGTAAAGTATAACTTCACTGCCTTCTATTAAATTAAACGGTTGACAAAGGCCTGTGTCTGGCCCTCGTGACCATCTTCTGGGTAATTCATCTAAGACAGAAAAACTTAGGGCCACAATAGATGTTTAGAACCCAGACGAACACCCTAAGCAAATACAAGGAGAAAACCTGTATGTGTATATATATACACACACATCTATGCATACATATATATGTGTATATAAATATTATATATAGTAACTTTACATTTTCTATATATTTCATTCTCATATTATTTATATATATTATACATGTATGTGAATGTGTGTATATAAATTATATCCACAGTATTATACTTATAAATATTTATCATTTTGATAAATGTATATTGATTATATCACTATATTGATTAGATTTCATTGACATTTGTCAATTATATTCATTCATATACACACACACAGACACACACACACACACAAATGATGTGTGGGAAATGAAATCCAGTCACGATCAAGCAAATTAAGATCACATGCCTCACAAGTTGTAGAACTGGAACTGGAGGCTGTTTCCTGATTTCCAGGCCAGTGCTACTTCAATTTGTGTAATTTCCTTTCTAATTTCATTTAATTTGTAGTTTGGTTTAACAAGGAATGTCTGTGATGAATAAATTAGTCATGAATTTTCCCAGAGCTATATTTTGATGGAAAATTTAAAATATGGCTTGCATATAGCTGAGGGAAAATTAGTTCATCCTGCAAAGAGAGCATAACTACCAAATAATGGACTTTTCTTCCTAAAGAACCCTCAGAATTTTCCAACTACTAAGAAACAAGGAAACAAGGTTTATTTTAAGCAGGTAAACAACTCGTTCTTACATGTCTCGAGCTTTTGAACTAATTTGCAGAATAGGCTATCTATTAGACTGGAGCAAAAGTAATTGTGTTTTTACCATTAAAAGTAAAGGCAAGGCCAGGCATAGTGGCTGACACCTGTAATCCCAGCACTTTGGGAGGCCGAGGCAGGTGGATCACCTGAGGTCAGGAGTTCTAGACCACCCTGACCAACATGGTGAAACTCCATCTCTACAAAAAACACAAACACTGGCTGGCCCTGGTGGTGCGTGCCTGTAGACCCAGCTACTTGAGAGGTTGAGGCAGGAGAACTGCTTGAACCTGGGAGGCAAAGGTTGCAGTGAGTTGAGATCCCACCACTGCATTCCAGCCTGGGTGACAAAGCGAGACTCCATGTCAAAAATAAATAAATAAATAAATAAAAGCAAAAGCTGCAATTACTTTTGCACCAACCTAATAGTATAAACAGAATGGAAGAGAGAAACAAAGGGAACAAACTGAAGTCAGATGTTAAGGTACTACTCAGGAAAAAAACCAAAATGCGTTCCTCAGAGAGCCTGTTGTAAGGATTGTTTGCATAAGGATCGCACAGTATATAGGAAGCATCTACTATAAAACCTAAACCTGGGCAGCAGTGAAGACACCAGATACAGTCCCTCTGCCTGTCTGCCTTCTTCCAGCAATGAGGGCCTTCATAGTAGGCTGCAGAAACCTCTTCTGTTCTGGATGCAGCTGGCCGCACAGCAGAGAAAGCTTCGTCACAAGCCTCCCACTAAGCCTAAACCGTGTTTCTTGAAATTGGAAAACACAGTCGCTGATTTTAAAGCCCTTTAAAAATGAAAACATTAATAGAACCACTGATTAGTTCTCTTTTGGAAAGCCCCAACTATTAACTAGAAGTGTTGTTGATGTAAATACTTTGCCTGGAGACAAAATTTAAGTACCTGTGCACTTGAAAGTTTTACTTTCAAGGACTTCCACTAAGCTCTGAAATGTTAAAATGGTCATAAGTATATCCTTTTAATATGACTAATCTCAGAAAGAATAATTCATAAAGTAACATATAGAAAAATATCCAAATACATAGACTTTCCTGCATGTATTTCTCTTTATTGTGTATAATTGCTTGATTATATGGAGACCACGCAAGCATTGTTTGGGACCATTTGCTATTCACCCATTAATTAACTCTTCATAGTTCTTTAAATTATATATTTAACTTAATTAAAGTAATAAAATGTTAAAATAGCTCTAGACTTAAGGCCAGCTTTAAATGAAGCTTTATTTTTGTATCAATGCGTTTAGTGCTTAGAAGTGGCTGCCTGTGACACTTAAAGAAACTTAGTAAATGGAAATAGTCCTGTGACATGGTATTTATTATAAAGAGTAATTAGATTGGACCTCCTTTTTAACAAAAAAAAAGTCATACTTCAACTGCCATTTATTTCTCAAAAGTCACAAATTCTTACTAGTCAACTGTAACATTCATAACAATGTGTAATACATAGCTCCCGTCACCTGATGCCAGATTCTACTCTACACAAAGTTTTTAAAAAGAAGAATTAGGAGGACACGAAGAATTAAATTCAGAATGTGTCCTGGACTATTGAGATTCTGAAACTATAGCAGCTTCCTAGAATAACTCTCTGACTTACATTTCATACAGCGATTTAATTAAGTGGCTTGGTTTATGAGAGATATCCTTCACAAAGTATAATCCAACCCCTAAAGAGTATTCCACTGCATGGATTTAAGGAACTATGCCAAGTCAAAAAATCATTGCAGATTTAGACTAACATTTAGACAAAACTCACCTCTTTCTTTCATGAACAGTATTGGTGGAAAATATGGAAAAGAATACAATCATGATATTCTGTCATCAGTTTTTAATCATACTCCAGTAACATGAAGAGTACACAACAAGTAACTAGGGATACCCTAAGGAAGTGATACACCGGGAAGCCCTACAATACTATACCCCCCTTTACCTTACAGCTAAAAAGATAGAACCTTCGTTTTTAACAGGTAAAATGAAGAACTTGCTTCATTTAGACATTAGTTCTGCTTGAAATAGCTTCAATGTTGTTGCTTTTCAAGTTTTAGGTCTCTTTAGATCCCCCCTACTGGGATTAATTTTCTCTAAAGTGATCTCCTGCCTTAAACATCAGTTTGAAGGCATACAGCTTATCAGCTGCCTTTTCCCCAAGGTGTAGGATCTGTGTTTATAATGACAACTGGCATGGGGCTCTTTTAAGGCAATTTCACATACACCATGACGTGTGAAACCAACAATGCAAAGCTACTCTCACAGTTTTCTTCCTGTAAACAAATAACAACGAGCCTCTGAGTAGGATGGTTTTGTGTGAAACTCAGGGATGGTGAGCACTTTCCTGCCACCCTGCCGAACTATTTTGCACTATCACAACACCTTACAAAAACAGGACTTGAATAAGTCCGACAAGTCAGTCATAATTTTTGAATTACTGGGAGTATTTTTCTGTCACTACACTAATGAATAATTCATGTTAACTTGCATATCTTTATATTTAGCACCAAAGAAAGAATATTTAGCTTTTTCAAGTTTTATAAATTTTGTCTTAAAACTACAAAAAAAATTAGTATATAGTAATAAGTGATAGAAAAAAATCTCTACTGTCCAGTAAAAACACAAATTTCATTTTGTTATAGTAGTGACTCAAAGAAGTCTCCAGGCACGACAGGAAATTAAGTTTTCTTATTTTAGTGTATGAATTTAAAAAGATAAAGTGATAGAGTATTTTACTGTTTTGCTGATTTGCCTAAAGGATTTCTGCCTTTTCAAGTTGGCAATTCGCATCCGAAACCTTCAAAAATGATGGCTAGAAATATGTTTAGTTACATGATAAAACAGTTACAATACATTGCAAGGTAAAAACAAACAAACAAACAAACAAACAAACAAAAAAACAAAAAAACTGCAGAGCATGATCTCATTTTAAAAAGTCACTGATAAAATAAGCTCCTATGATGAGGAATGGAGGTCTCCAGCTGGCAGAGAGCAAAGAACTGAGGCTTGCTGACAACTATGGGCGTGATCCTAGGAACTGATTCTCAACCTCAGCCAAGCCTTGAGACTACTGTAGCTCTGGCCGGCAGCCTAATGGCAACCTCCTGAGACAGCTCTGAGAAGAGACTTTCCAGGTTCAAGTCCTGGTATACCACTTACCAGTTCTGTGACCTTAGGAAAGATATTTAACCTCTCTGTCTTCTCAGTTTTCTTATCTGTGAAATTGAAATAATAGTAACACGAATGTCATAGGGTTGTTGGGAATCATTTAATTCTTTTACTCTGTATTTGTTATTTTTTACAGACTAGGTCTGTTTCTGTCACCCAGGCTGGAGTGCAATGATATGATCACAGCTCACCACAGCGTTGACTTCCAGGCTCAGGGTTCAAGCAATTTTCCTACCTCAGCCTCCTGAGTACCTGGAACTACAGGTGCACATCACTACACCTGGCTGATTTTTTTTTTTTTTTTTTACAAAAAATGTTTTTTTTTTTTTGATATAGACAATGTCTCAAAAATAAATAAAGAAATGGCTTCAAGGTGTTGCATTAGTCATCTATTGCTGCATAACAAATTTCCCCAAAATTTTACAGTTTTAAAACAACAAGCATTTGTTTTCTCACATTTTCTGAAGATTGAGTATCTGAGAGGGTAGATCTGGCTCAGGATTTCAGGAGGAAGGTTGGAGCCAAGCTGTCTGATGAGGCTATAGTCATCACAAGGCTTGACAGGAACTGAATCCCCTTCCAAGTGCATGCACGTGACTGTCAGCAGGCCTCAGTTCCCAGCTGGCTGTTGGCAGAAGGCTTCCACTCCTCACCACGTGGGCTTCTCAATAGGCTGCTTGAGTGTCCTTGCAGCATGACAGCTGGCGTCCCCCACAGCCAGTGAGGAGTGTGAGTGTGCCTGAGCAAATGAGCAGGAGAACATGCAAACAGAAGCTTCGGTCTCTCCTAACTCAATCTCAGAAGTGGCATGCCATCACTTTTGCCACATGATATTGGTCACGCAGAGCAGCTCTTGTTAATAGGGGAGGAAACTCCGCAGGGGTGTGGCTGCCAGGAGGTGAGGATTTGGAGAAGCCGTCATGGAGGCTGGCTTCTACTGTCATGGAACTGGGACTGAAGAGTGAAATTTCACTACAGAGATAAATTTTTTTTTTTTTTGGAGAAAGGATCTC